ATTGCTCTCACTCATTCTTCTAGTTATGGACCACGTAAGAAATGTACTTGAAAATGTAATAAATGTACCTAGTAGCAATCGTTCCTCTTTCTTTACTGGGATAATGAATCCAAGAATGTCAAATGTTTACCCTTTATAAGTTAACCAACTTATTGTGAACCTTATTGTGTTCAGAAATACTATAAAATATTTAATTACTAAATTTTAGAATTTTTTAAAATGAGAAAAATTAAATATGAATTTTTAAAATTTTAAAAGATATTGATAAAAACAATGAAAATTTCGACTTAGAAGTCAAATTTTGAATTTATTTTTTGAGGAATTTTTTATAATGTTCTAAACATATCAGCAAAATAATCATTCAAAAATACATATTGATTTAACAACATGAACTAAAACTACGTGCATAATAATTTTGTAGGAATTAAAACTTGTCAATTTTTTTTATAGAGACCAAAAGTAAAATTTAATAATTTATAGGGATTAAAAACATATTTAACCCAATATTTTATTATCTATTTTTTATTTCCCAAAAGCAACTTTGTAGGACATTCAACAAAAACAAACGCTAAACGTGAAAAACTAATGAAGTTATTTTTAATTTAAAATACAATTAAAAAAAATATAAACACATAAACTATATAAAAAAATAATATATGAAACAACTTTGGTAAAACAATTTTGGCAAAATATCGTTTTTGGTCTCTTAAATATACCTCGGAGTCTATTCTGGTCCCTTATCTTTAAAAGGTTTCAAAGTGGTCATTTAATTGTTAAAAAAGGTCCACATTAGTTCTTTCGGTCAATTTTTTTTCAAACGGTGTCAACTTTTGCTTGGGTGGCATTGACAACACACATTCACCTTTAAGGTCATTAATATTTTGAAAAAACATTCCAAAATTTTTGATTTAGTCTAAATTCGAACTCACACCATTTAGATTACAAGTAATAGCACTACACCACACACCACTACACCACTACACCACTTCACAATTAATGTTTAGTATTTCAAATCAGTTTTACTAATCATATAACATGAACTTCATCTCAATTGGAGACCAAAATAATCCGTTTCTACTGCTGAGATACTGCTGATAAAGAGAAGTTTGATGGTCTAAGAGATGGATACTAGTAAGCTTAGGGTTAACGACTGTTTAATCAAGTGCCTTGTTTTATTTTGAATACTTAAAATAGATTTAAAGTTTATGGTTAGTGTTTTGCTTTCATGCCGTGAGCTTTCATTTCAACATGAATTACACCCATGTTTGTTGTTGTCAGTCATTTGTGTTATAATTTCATGCGCATGAGATTTAGATTTCTGTATCATATAATTGCGCCAACAATTAAATGAATTCATGGTAATTTTGTTATTAGTGTAGCTATTTCCATGGGCAGTGTGCAATTATAATGTTTGATGTTACTGCGCGATTGACATACAAAAATATTCCTACCTAGCACCGCGATCTTTGCATGTTTGTGAATGAAGTTTGAAACCTTTTTTAATATGCTTTTTAGTTATTCAACACCATTTTCCTTGTACTGCTTAATTGACACTTCCTTTTGCAACTTATTTTCAGGATTTGTGAAAACATTTCAATTGTTCTTTGCAGAAACAAGGTTGATGTGAAGAACAGAAAACTGAATGCTAAGCAGGTTACTTTTCACATGAAGAAGAATTTGCAGGACTATGAGATATCAGCTAAGAGCAACTACAACTTTGAGAAGCCTTTCCTCTATCTTGTCAGGAAACTTGCAGGATAGGTGTTTACTTTCTAGTTTCAAATATTTTTTGATATTGTTAATCATCTTTGACACTAAGAGAAATTCTCTAACATGATTTTTGGTTCGAATGAGAATGCTTTACTTTTAATTCTTTTATCTGCAATAAATCAAACTAGTACATGTTAATATATTAAAATTATATGCAAAAAATTGAATTTATACAGTCTCACATGTATATGCTATTTAGTGCATTTCTATCAATTTAGAATAATACTCTTTATAATATAATAGGATGTGTGGTTTGAATATAGTTTACCCTTTTGTGTTGTTTTGGCATTGTATATGTTTCTATCTCGTTACATGATACCAGCAACAACAAGTGTAGCATATGATTAGTAAAACTGAATTGAAATAATAAACATTAATTATGAAGTGGTGTAGTGGTAATTCCGTATTATTTGTAAGTTAGATGACATGAGTTTGAATTTAATAGACGGAAAGGATTAAGTTGATATTTTTGAACAATTAAAAGACTATTTTAATTTTTTTAAAAGATAAGAGACTAAAATGGACCTTGAGATATACTTAGAGACTAAAAAAGGTATTTTATCAACAATTTTATTTTAATTTTAAAAATATGTGTTTATTTTAAAAATAATAAACTATTTTACTAAAATAATTTTATTTTAATTATTTCTATTTTTATTATATTTCGAAAACAAAAACGTGTATACAATATTAGTACTCGTGCGAACGCACATGTAACACACTATTACCGTATAAACACACAAATAATTATATCAAAATCCGCGCGAACGCACAAGTTTAACGTATAGAAAGTTAAAATATATATTATTGATGTAAAAAAATATTTTTATTTTAAAAGTGTATTTATTTTAAAATTAATAAAAAAAATTTAGTAAAACAATTTGTTTTTCTGATTTTTATTACATTTTTAAAACAAAAGTGTGCGTACCACTCCGATACCCGTGCGAACGCACAAGTACATATATGATACACACATATGGTAAAAATATTAAACTATTAATCTAAATATTGAATAATAACGGCAACAAGTTTACTATTGATTTAATTATTTTTATAAATAATTCCAAAACAAAAATATTTATATATAGAATTATACTGTTGATTAAAATATTTTTATATACGAAAAAAATTATAGAAGCCGATTTATCATCTCTTCTAAAAATAATAAACTATTTTGGTAATTCAATTTTGTCTTTTTCATCATTTCATTTTTATTATCTCTTTAAAGACAAATGTGTGAAACACATGGGTAACCATACAAATATACGGGTAGTGAAATGGTACGCACATATGGTACTATATTAAACTATTGATTTAAATATTTAATAATAACAAAAACAAGTTTACTATTGATTTAAAATTTTGTATAAGTATTTCCAAAACAAAATTATTTATATATAGTAATAATAATACAATTGATTCAAATATTTTTATATACGAAAGAAATTACAGAAATCGATTTACTATTTCTTTTAAAAATAATGTATTAATCTAAATACGAGAAAAATATATTATTTTTTAATTATTTATTATCAAATATTTTTATTTTAAAATTATTTTTAATTTAAATATATAATTTTTTGAAAATAATATACGCAAAATTGATGTAAAACAATTTTATTTTTATTTTAAAAATATGTTATTTTTTTAAAATAACATACTATGCTGGTAAAATAATTTTGTTTTTTTATTTATATTTTTATTACATTTTGAAAATAAAAGTGTGTGTACCACATCAACACTCGTGCGGATGCACATATATTGATATGATACGTGCATATGATCCTGATATGAAGTTATTTATTTAAATATTGAATAATAATGACAACAATTTTATTATCGATCTAATTATTTTATGAATAATTTCAAAACAAAAATATTTATATATAAAATTAATTATACTATTGATTCAAATATTTTTATATAAAAAAAATATAGAAACTAATTTATTATTTCTTTAAAAATAATAAATTATTATGGTTAGATGATTTTATATTTTTTTCATTTTATTTTTTTATTTATATTTAATTATATTTTAAAAACAAAATTATACGTACCACACCACATATATGTGGATTGGAAATATGTTGAAGAGGGTCAGACTTGAAGTACATGTATTTTAGTTTAAATTTATGTTAATTAATTTTAAAATAATTTAATTTTAGTTTAAATTGCTGTTAATTAATTTTAAAATAATTTTTTAATTTCAGATAATTAATTTTGAAATAATTTAATTCCAGAAAATTGATTGAAATAAATAAATAAATTATATAAAAATAATAATAAATAATTTAATTCCAGATAATTAATTTTGAAATAATTTCATTCCAAAAAATTAATTTAAATTAATTATTATATAAAAATAATAATAATAAATATAATTATCCAATAACTAATGTCATATAATGAAAAATAATTTTTTTATCCAACTTATCAATATAATATACAAATTTGAAAAAAATGATAAAAATTTAAAGTGAAGTAAAGTTGAGGGATCGGAAAGCTGAATTTTAAAATGAATGGATTAAAAGTTAAAAAACTTGAAAATAAGAGAATCAAAATTATATTTAAACTTATTCTTTAATATAAATATAATTATAATCATCATTTCCGGTTAAGCACCTCATATAACCAATTCTTTTTTTGTTAAATATAGATGTCTTCTGACTTAATTAGTAACTAAATTGTCTTAGTTCAGGCTTAGTTGGATTAACAGTAACCAAAATAAAAACATGGAACAAGCTTCCAACGAAACCAACTACCACGTTGTCTTGATAACCATAATCTCGAGTTCATCGTCAACAACTAAAGTGAAACAAAATAAGAACCTTACCTGAAAGTCCACTTAACATAACAAAATACTAATGCAAAAAATAGTCAAAAGTCAAAATAATTAACTTAAAAAAACGTTGTCAATTACTAAAAAAGCTAATAATAATGTCCATTCAAATCCTCCCCCTTTTCTCTCCGAGACAACCTCAACAATTTTTTTCCATTCCTCATCATCATTACATTACATGCATGTCTTCCTCTTCCTTTAACCTTATGCTGTTCATCATCCCTCTACCATTTTTATAGCCTCTTTTTCCCTCTTGTGTTACGGAGTGGCTCCTTCAATTTCATTTATTGAGGGAACCTCCGTTCACTCCTTTCTCATTCATTCATTTCTTGTACCAATTAGTATAGACTTTTTTTCTTTCTTATTAGAATTTTCTTTTTGAACGTTTAGAATGAGTTGCTTTCCTTGTTTTAATTCTCAAAGGAGCAAGAAAAGCAACAGCAAGAGGGAACATGGGGTTGCGCCGCCGCAGGAAAACAACACCCTTATAACAAAAACACCAGGTTATTCAATTCAAATAATTGTCTGCTATTTCTTTATAATCTTTATCCATGTTTGAAAACTTTTTAATATTCTATAGCATTTTCTATTTTTTTCATATAATGATTTGTTCAATGTGACTGATATGTAGATATAAAGAAACCAAAACCGGAGGAAACAACCCAAGTTGACACATCAAATATTCAAGCACAAAATTTCACATTTCGGGAGTTGGCGATTGCAACCAAGAATTTTAGACAAGAGTGTTTGATGGGAGAAGGTGGTTTTGGAAGAGTCTACAAAGGAACAATTCCTGCAACAGGACAGGTTTTATAATATGATAATGTCGATTCAGTTCTTACAACAATTGTTGTTTTTACACTTGTTGTATTACATGTGTTTTTGATGAGTGTTTGTGTTTTTCTTCTCTCTCTCGCTTCTAGGTGGTAGCAGTGAAACAACTTGACAGAAATGGGATTCAAGGAAGTAAAGAATTTTTGGTTGAGGTTTTGATGTTGAGTCTCTTAAACCATGAAAATTTGGTTAAACTTATCGGTTATTGCGCTGATGGCGATCAGCGTCTTTTGGTGTACGAGTTCATGTCAGGAGGTTCTCTAGAAAGTTGTCTTCTCGGTACACTTACCCTATCTTTCTATGTTCTTCGATTTTTAACTACGCGTAAACTTGTATTGTGCATGACATGATTTTCTTAAATCGTCATTTTGATCTCTAAATGTGTTGATACATTCATGGACTATAATGTCAACGTTCGATAATCTTATGTCATTATGTTAATGTGAAACTAAAATAGCGCACATGTTTTGGTTTTGGCGCAGAGAGAAAACCCGAGCAACCTCAATTAGATTGGTATAACAGAATGAAAATAGCATCAAACACTGCGAAAGGACTATGGTACTTGCACGACAAGGCAAATCCGTCGGTTATTTATAGGGATTTGAAATCTTCCAACATTTTGCTTGATAATGACCATAATGCAAAACTATCTGATTACGGACTAGCGAAACTTGCTGGTAAAGATAAGATGAACGTTGTTCCTACAAGAGTAATGGGCACTTATGGTTATAGTGCGCCCGAGTATGTAAGAACGGGTAATCTCACCTTGAAATCAGATGTGTATAGTTTTGGAGTTGTCTTGCTAGAACTCATAACTGGAAGACGAGCCGTTGACACCACAAAATCGCACGACGAGCAAAATCTAGTTTCATGGGTAAACTATAACTATGACAATCTAATCTCTTTTGAACATTATTGTTTTGTCCTTTGAGTTTGAGATATCTATTTTGATAAATTTTATATTTATGATTGAGCAGGCCCAACCGATATTTAGAGATCCAAAAAAATACGGAGACTTGGCAGATCCAAAGCTGAAATATTATCCTGACAAGGATCTGAATCAGGTTGTTGCAATTGCAGCCATGTGCTTACAGGAGGAAGCTGCTGCGCGTCCTTTGATGAGTGACGTTGTAACTGCTTTGAGTTTTCTTTCGACTTCTCCTCCTCCTGAAGGTGTTCCTGAACCTCTTCCACCTCCCAATTCCACTTCCCAAAAGAGTGTTTCCACTGCCAGTGAAAGTGAGAGTGAGGGCGAAGGCAATAAGAATAAATCGCCTATTGCAGCAGAGAGTGCAAAATACGAAGAATGTGAAGATGGATCAGACAATGAATGTGATTATTATGAGAATGAAAACCATGATTATAGTCCACAAGATACTAAAGAAACAAAAGAGTTTTACTCCCAATCAAGCCGCAAAAGCAGCACCAAATCAAAGAACTCGAGTTCAGGATCAGAAAATGGTCGCAAAAGCAGCAGGAGAAAGCAAGGCGCGGATGGTAGTTTATCTCAGAAAAGCAGCAAAAAACCGGCTGCAGGAGATTTAAGCCAGAAGAGCAGTAAGAAATCTCGCGCAAAGGATTTAAGCCAAAAGAAGAGTAAAAAATCATCAAAAGTTAAAAATCACTCGTCTGATAGCAGCAGTGACGAAGAGTCACAAGATGAAAGCGTTCTTCTCAAGCACGGTGACAGTAGGAAATCACAAGATGGAAAGGGATACTCTTTTGGGCTAATAAGCAGTGATAGCGGGGAAGGATCACATGTAGATGTTCATCATTTTAATCGTGTCAGCATGGGGCCATCTGAGGATGGAAGTTCTCAACATTTCGAACATTCCAGCAGCGGAGGATCAGATGAGGGAAGTGTTCATTCACCACGATAGCTTGCAATTGAATCGAACAGGCATTCATACATGCGCGCTGCGCTTTGACGTGTTGTTTTGTATATTTCTGTCAAAGTCTTCTTGTTGTTGTTGTTTATACATCTATCAGTTTGGTTGAGCGCGAGACAAGCATAACATAACTGTTTAGTAGACTTCAGCTACATTCATGTATATCCTCAAAGTATAAAACTCAACCATCCACATATATATATACACTTCGTTTTGTTTAGTAGACTTCAGCTACATTCATGTATTTTACCCTTAGTTCAAGAACAAGTGTGAAGATAGCGGTGAATTTCCATAGGTGATTGTTGAAATTATTGATAACAGTGACCCTTGTTTGTATTATATAAATGATTATGGCAATTCTAATGTTATTACTTATTACTGTTATCACAATTATTCATCTGCATTAGGCCAATCAAAACATGTGATTATGTTTAATCTAATTTTATTTCACGAAATTATTCTGAAATCTAAACGATACTATATAGAATAAAGTAAAATACAGATAAAGTAGATACGATTCAAATTTCTATTGCTTCAAGTCTATAACACGCTTCTGAATCGAAGATCTGAATGACTGCAACATCATTTGTTTCTTTTGCTGTAGTATGTTTTTTTTTTTTAATGGCTCCAACACATTTTCTAGGTGCACCTAAAGATCTGCGAGCGAGCGAAATACAAGGGAAACATGTCACACTTCTTTAATACAGTCGTACCGTAATGTATATAGTCATCTTCTATTTTCCAGTTTCACTTTTTCAACTTTAATCATACACGCGTATAGAGTCATCAATTAGAGCTAGATGTTGATGTTGATGTTGTTGTCGATGGTGTTGGTGTTGCCTTCTGCGTAAACAGAAAACAGCTGTCAACTTGGTAAGCACAAAACTACAACAAGCTATAACAAATCGCGGATATTACTATATTTACCTTGCGTGCTTCTATGTCCCTATAGACTTTATCCAATTCGTCAAAAACAATCTCGATTGATGGACGGCCCGTGCTTGATTTTGCAACACAGAGTACTGCAATCTGTAAAATAGCTCCGAAATCCGTCTTATCAACTTGTCCCTTTAGTCGCGAGTCTACAAAATCCGACAGTGGACGCTTTCCGATACTCACATCTCTTGCCTACAAATAATCATATTGCATGTAATCTCATATAATGTAATGCATACATTTAATTGTTATTGTGTTCTTTTTTCTGTCTTGCGATGAATGAATCGATCTACCTTTCTGGTGAGTTGATCTCTAGCATCAAGATCCAATTCTATGACTTTCTGTCCTGACAGAATTTGCAAAGCAACAATTCCGAAACTGTATACATCACTCGCGCAAGTTAGCTTGGCGTTACTCATGTACTCCGGATCCATATAACCTATGGTTCCTCTAACATCAGTAAAAACCTTGCTCTCCTCCATTCCCATCATCCTTGACAGTCCGAAATCCGAGAGTTTGGCTTCGTATTTCTCAGTCAAAAGAATGTTTGTAAGCTAATCATTAAAATCAGTATCAGACATCAAGAAACATTATCTAAATATTCACAATTAAGTGCAGAAAACATCAAATTCACCTTGATATCTCTATGTACAACACAACCCTCTATATGATGATGGAGATACTTAAGTGCAAATGAACATTCTCTCAGAATCCTCACTCTTGCTTCCCAAGTCAAATGACTATCTCTTCCTGAAAATAGTCACACACACGTAAATAAATTAAAATCGTCATTTATGTCATACGTTACGTTGGAATATATTAAATGATTGATCGAAAAGTGAAGAGTAGAGAACATTACTCAAGAGATGTTGAGCAAGATTTCCATTCGCGCAAAACTCGTAGACTAAATATCTCTCACCATCTTCCATGCAACAACCAAACAAGCAAACCAGGTTCGGGTGGCGAAGCCTAGAAAGACCCGCAAGTTCTCGCGTGAACGAATCAGAACTGGAAGTGTTACTCTTTATCAAATGCTTGATGGCCACAACTTGTCCGCTAGGCAAAACGCCTCTATACACCTCGCCCGCACTCCCGCGTCCAAGGTTTATCTTTTCATTTTCAAAGTTCATCGCATTTTCAATTTCGGTTTTCGTGAACCAGTAAAGTCCAGACCAAGTAGCTATCTGTTTCAACTGAGCATGCTTCTTAATAGGCTTTTTCTTCGATACACATTTTACCAGAAAAACAATAATCAATAATGCTAGGATAACAACCACCAGTACTCCCAACACAAGTTTCTTCATCGATGATTCTACATTCGCAAAAAATAAATCATGTCAGTTTCATTGTTCGATCAGACCTTAAAAATATACATATAACATGTAAAAAAAAGTTCATAAGACGGATTCAGGTCTGACATTAACATTTTCAACTTCAGGTCGGACTTTAAAAACGCGTACAATAATCTTACTTTTGTGATATACTGCTGGTGGCGGAAAGCATCGCAAGAATTTGTCTGCAAGGAAAGGATCATCTTGTTGTTCAAAAGCGACAGAAACAAGAGCTGCTACACCGCATATGGCTCTCTCGGTATCATTGTAGTTTTCTTTGCCAACCACTGTATCATACAAAGCATCTCGTAAGCTCAAAATCGCACTTGTGCAACCCAAACACGATTCTTCGAACGAATGGTCAAAGTGGCTGCATGTTTCCAATGCATCTGTGAACTGTTGCAAGTTCTGAGCTTCTAGCAAATTTAAGTTGGAGCATTTGGAGCTACCAAAGTAAATGTTATCAAAGCCACATGAAGATAGTGACATTCCTTGTTGTGGATGGAATGATTTGTTGCAACTTTGCCATTGTTGTTGAGAAAGGAAGATTTCTCCCGTTGAGTTGCGGACTTGCGAGGCCAGGGCATCTGAGAGCAGGGTAAGAGAGTTTCTGCAGCATATAGTGCTTGGGAAACCATCACTAGTGCTACCCCAGTTGGTTATGTCTTCTTTCACACTTCCACATTCACCAAATGGCATATACTCGAATTGGGATGCATTGAAATCCAATACACATGTACCTAAGCCAAATCGAAAGACTTTTAATATTAAGACATGCAATTTTTATACCAAATTAATCTCTATTTCAATTTTTTTTTAAATCATATACAAACTAATTAAATTAAGCATTAACACTTCATAAAAAAGGCTTAACATATATATTAAAAATTGAACTAAAATTTAATAAAAAATTAAATACAAATTATATGTTCTTAAAAGGCTCTCACAATAGATCTCATCTTTTTCATTTTTATTTGTCTCAAATTATTTATATTTTTAGAATATTAATGTGATAGGAGTATTTATTATTTCTTTCCATTAAATTACTTTTATATTTTAATTCATATAAATACTCCACTATCTATTATTAATAAAGTTATTTCAGTAAATAAGACTTATTTTATCATTGAAATCAACCTAATTAATCATTATGTTTGAAAATATCAAAGAGGACAAGATTGAGGGAGTACATCACATACTTTGTTCATTGCCATAAATGAATCGATTGAGATTATTCTCTCTCAAAGATTCTTAAACACAGTATGTTATTTTGATATGAAATTCACAATGATTGTATAAGATAAAGAGTGATAATAATAGTATAAAAGAGTAAGGAAAATGATTAGACCTTGTGTGTGGTTAGGTGGTGCAGGAGATACGAGCAGGGAAGGGTTTATAAGAATAGCAATAATGATAAATGGGATAGCAAGGTGGCGAGCCATGTCTTTTTATTTGCATAATAATGGAGAAGCAGCGCAACTTACAAACTCACCAAAATTTTTCCATTAGACAAATGGTGTTGAGTAGATATAATAGACTCATCATCTTTCTTTGTGATCATCGCTAGCTAAAGGAGAATATGGATATTCTCAACTATTAACATATCACAGCTTGTGTGTATTCTATGCCATTCTGTTGTTTATTTTATTTCTATGGCATTGCAATTGTCACCAAAGACTTTTAAAACTTTTTTTTTTTTAATAAACTCTTATAATCTTTATGAATATGTTATTATATGTGAGGTCTATTTTGGACTACATGTAAATGGAAAAATACGCTAAGCAATTATATGAAATTAGAACATCAATACTTATTTATCGTAGATATGATTTAGGAATAAGGATTGTCATTTTTGTCACTTTGATTTAGAATCATGAAAAGATCTTCTGTGTATCTCCCGTCCACAACTCTCAATGAGGCAAATTATGGAGCCGTCAGTTATATTTCTGATTTCGTGATTACATAGACCTAGTCATATAAAATATATAACCCTAGTCCTTACCCATTATGGAGCAAGGGTTAAAGCCCACACTTTTGTCCATACCAATCAGATTTCAGATACTCAGACTTTAATTAAAAGATGATCACTTAACCAATAAAACGCCTACTTATACACCTCCATCAAAATCATGATTATTTCGTTTTTCTCAAACTAAAACAACAATTGATTGCAACCTGTAAAATATTAGATAAATCTAACATTCTATCACTTGGGAAAAATCAATTGTGTGATTTTAAATTTAAAAAAAACACATTTGAAAATGACTCTCGAGTTAATGACTAGTTTCTTAAAATGCAGCCACATTTTAAGAAAATACATGATTCCGGATGCAATATTTGAATATGACTCCATCCAATAAAAGTCAAGTAGGATTGAATCACAGCGATTTTTATATCCTTCATTGACATAAAACATTTCATGGTTACAGATACTACGAACTTCGTCAGCTAGTCATCAGTGTAGAGTGTGGCAAGAAAATAACATGCCAATGTGATCCAACAACCAAACTGCTATTTTCTTTGCCATTTCTTAACAATTTCTCTCAAATGTCTTAAAGTCAAAGAAATTGCATGGTTTTACAAACCATAACGCCTCAGCTCTAATATGGCATCGACCATCGGCACAGTGGTCTTGACAACACTGATCGCGACTTTGAGAGTCTGTTGGGTTTACTGACTGCAAATGCACAGTCTAATCGCGTAGTTTTAAAAGATATCGAACTC